TTTCCCTAAACCTGGCAGTCAAGACACACACAGAGGAAAAACTAGGTTCCACAGTTTTAACAGTATGGAAAATATATGGATGTACAAGAACAGGCATGTTACAAGAACGATTACCAAACAGAACCTGTGAATGAACTCTGCTTAATGAATCCCACTGGGTTTATTACAAAGTAAGCACCAGCCAAATTTGAGAAATTTAGATGCTACAGAGGTTTAGTTCGCACCAAGTCAAGCTTTCTTACTGCTAGACTTGGGTACCCAAACCTGTTTTGTAGGTCTACCCTATCATGATTTTTTTCCCCCCACATTTAAGTCTTAGAGGCCACTCAGTGAAGCATCAGGGTTCTGTTTAAAGAACTTAGCTACGAATAAACACTTTGTGGGCAAATGACAAGAAATTAGGATCGTGGAAACACTGACCAAAACTAGATCACTGAATTGAACAAATCTAGACATTATTACAAGACAGAAACCAAAAAGAAATTCTTTGTTAACCTGCTAACAAAACTAACAGAATTCTTTGCATCCAGACCTGAAGAGCTTTCTCCTTTTTGACATTTTTTGAAGCACATGCATTCAGTTTCTTCTTAATTACTGCATTTGCTTTGTTTGCTGGATTTGTATCCTGGTTTTCTGATGTCAGGTTACATCTGTTGTCATGTATTTCCAACAATGGTATCATTAATAAAGATGTGGTATATGCATTTTCTGACTATTGACAAAAAAGAGGGTAGGGAACAGGAATAATAATTAGTATTTAATTTAAAAAAAAAAATTCAACTGCTGTGATCAGAGAAGCAAAAATGTAAACAAACCAAATACTATCAGAAAGACCCTAGGAAAGAATCTGAAAAGAAAAAGTACTGAACAGTATACGAAGAACTAGCCTGGTCTATACTGGGATTCATAGTTGATACCAAGCACAGTAAAACACGTAGCTGCTAGCATGATTTGAGCATTACTGAGTAGACTGTTTCTTTCATATAAAGCCATGCTACAGCTGATCACAGAACAGTTTTAAAGAAAAAAGCTTGTAATTCACTTCTAGTACAACCCTTGTGAAAGTACAAGGAGAATGGAGTAAAAAAAAATTAAGATCACATCACTATCAGGGGGACGAACTTCTTTAAGAACTGAAATAAGCACTGGATGGATCATTCCAGAAGAGTTTCATATGTTGATGTTTATGGAAATAAAAAGAAATTAATCCAGCTTCACTATAGCAAGGCAGAAGAAATTTATATGGCAATTTTAGAGAGCAAAATTAGATGAGAGTAACAGTGGCATAAGTACTTGTTGGCTTACAAAACCACCCCATTATACTGCATTAAACTACCTTTACATATTTATTCTATCTTAGACCTTACTCCTAAGTTACTGCCATGTGGACACACAATTTCTGCTTAAGGACTGGTACATTTGTCAATTTTAAATCAGATACTACCGCTATCTCTCTCGCTAAGAGTGAATGTTCCTGTTGCAACCATCATCCCTCATTAAAATGGAGGAAAAGCAATTTTTCCCAGTCCACTGCCTTTAATATACCACAACATCATAGTGTATCTTGTGTTTAGCTTAATAACCTGCACAATATAGCATGTCATAACAAGACATTACGAAGAGAACACCGGGCATTTTGTTTCTGTTTTGAACGGCTGCAGCAATGCTGCTCCTCACAAGACAGAGATGCTCCTGGGGAAGCGGGGAGTTCCCACTAGGTGGCAGAGCGCCTAACACCCAGCGCACAGACACGGAGGCCTGGCAGAGTCTACGAGGCATTTCAGAAGGGAATTCAGAAAACCAGCTACAATAATCAGAAAGGGGTATGACTTAAGCACCTGTTCTTTTTAAGGACTTTGGCTCCTACCGCTTGAATACAGCTTTATACCTGATCAGGAGTCACAGACATTTCCTCCTTCAGAATTAAACACATGCATACAATTACGTAAGAACTAGATTAGAATAAAGTTTTCCTACAAACTACAAGGCTAATCTATTCAATCACTCAACTGGAAAAATACTGGGCTACTTTTTAAAGGAATGAGGGACAAAACCAGCCCCATCTCTGAACTCTTGATGTCCTGGTTGATGAGGCACAAGTATTCGAATTCCTTCAGGCAGAGGAAGACCACAAACCTCATCTTCTACATGCTTGATATTTCTTAAAGCATTCCCCTACTATGTGAAGCAGGAAAAGGAAAAACATGCTGCCTAATATGCAATTAGGTATCTTCAGGACACGTCTGCCAGACTGTCAAGCATGCAAAACACAGGGGCAAATGCCATCTTCCTGGTGTATTACAGACAGCTTCAGTGTGCCATATGTGCTAAAGTTTATAGGTAACCAGCACAGAAGCAGCTTTGCTATAACAGCAAATCTGCAAAGCATCCACATTCCTTTAGTGGTCCTGCTCTGAAGACCTGAAAGGAAGAAGTCATGCATGAATTCAAGCCCAATGTTCAACTATGGTTTGAAGTACTTGAAGTAGTATTTCAAACTGAAGGCGATTCTCACTTTCGAAATTTATGAATCTAGTCTCAATCCAAACACTTTATTTTAGTTGACAGAATGAAAGATACTCAGTTCTATATTAATATTGCTGCCAGTGATGCCCTTCAGTAGTTTAATACTTACCTGTGCATCTAAACTATTATCTTCTGTGAAGAGCTGGGCACCAACCTCTTCTTTTTCCCATGGATCTAGGACCAGTGATTTTCTGACTTTTTTAGAAGAATTGTGCTGCAATAAACATTTTGCAGAGAAAAAATGTAAAATGTTATTTAAAAGCTATTATTTCCTATTTGAAATTATTATTGTAATGTTACCTCCTGCTTGCAGCTTTTATACACAGTGTCATCTTCCTCCTTGAGGAATATATCTGTTCCAGTTTCCTCTTTCAAAACTTCCCTAATGTCTTCCTCCAAGAATGCAAGTGGTTGTGACTAAGTTAATGAAAATTGGAGGAGAAAATACAGGAAGTCTATTAGTTGCCAGTTTTTACCTTATTCTACTTTTAGCTAATGCGAGCCAGAAAAGAGATCTGGCAAAATATAGCAACAGATAAAAGGATTTAAGCTATTGCAGTTAACAACTACAGATCAACATTTCAAGGCTATGCAAATTTTTTAATTCCCTTTACTCCATGTTATTTCTAGCCAGATAAAACATATACATGCACACAGTGCCTCAAAAAATGCAAGGTAACATTGAAGACGACATGCAAACTACTACTAAACACATAAACACATATATGTGTGTATATATATATACACACATGCATACAAACATACTAAAAAACTGTACTATAAAAGTATGACTGTTGTTGGGAAAGGAATTCATATCAATCTTAACACTAATCTTTGAATAAGACATTGATAGTCCTAAGTACAGTACAGAATTTCACTGAAGCCATACAGATGGCTCCTTTGTGTACCAACAGGAGAAGAATTCCCTTAAGCCCTCAAAATTTGATTTTGAACAGGAGGTTAATAGTGGACAGAAACAGGCATGCCAAACCACTCCATTTGCATAGCGAGAGACTGCGAATCTATAGGGTAACACAGATGGTGCCAAGCCCTGTGGCAAAGTCTGAGCTACCTTCTGTGTTTGCAGAAAAGAAGTAGTCAATATATATTGGCTGGAATTTTTTCAGAACTTGAAAAGCATATGTCTACTGAATTCCAAAAGTTATTATGCATTAACATACCTTAGCTAAGCTTGGAAGAGAGCAAAATTGAATTAATTTGGAACAAACAAACAAACAAAAAGGTAACATTATCCATAGTCAACCAAAAAAAAGTCTTCTGTGACAGCCAGAAGAATCAGAGGAATCATGAATTGCTATATTAGATTTTGGGATTTAGGATGAAGGAAATTGTAGACGTCACTCAAGTAAGCCCCTAGGAAGGATAAAACACTTCCAAACATCTTCCCATCAAAAAAAATTCTCAGAATACTAGCATGCTGTGGTAAACATCTAGTTTCAGGCCTAGCACTGTAGAAGAACCAAAACCAGAAAACAACTCAGCTCTTACATAGTCCGGAGGATTCAAAGATAATGCAGTTTTTCAAATCAAATGTGAAGGTTGCTTAAAATAACGGTCAGTCACATTCATCTGCACCAGTTTGTTCTTACTAGATTATCCAGTTGGAGGACCCACACCCATTCACTCTCTCACTTACAATTTTTCTTTTGAAAAAAATAGAATGTTGAAGTATTAAAATTAAAATCTCAGACAATGATGTTACCACCTTGTAAGAGGTACAGTGTTAGCAAGGCTACACGAATTTAAAACAACTCACAAATGCAGAACCAATGCATTTAAGATTACTATGGATCAAATTATTACATGTACCAAATACCATTCAAAAAGACAATGCCTCCACACTACACTGAAGAATACTAGCCTAACATACAAAATCTAAAACATTTTTGATTCACATTCTAGCTGTTCTCTAGGATAATATGGAATGCCACTGGAACAACAGCATTGTTAGAAAATGCTTTCTAAGATCATGCTGAGGTTTACAATATCTCAGAAACAAGAGGGCATTTAGACTTCAACAAAGAAGAAAATAAACAATGTCATCACATACCGTAAGTTTGAGGGGACCATACTTTTTTTCCTGAGCAGCCAAAGCATTTTTAAAAGGAGTTGGCGTCCTTGGTGTTGAACCCAAAAGAGATCTTCTAATTGTGGGAGTTCTAAAACTATTCAAGCATAGAAAAGTGTTCAGACATGCATTTTAATATTTTACTTTATCAACAGTACAGTTGTAATACAACAATACAATAATGTAATAACATTCATCTAAGAAACATTTTAAAATACCTTAATTTACACAACAGATATCATCACCATGAATCTGAAAGTATTAAGATCACCATAGCATCACCCCAGCTATATTAAACTGGATTTTGTTCAGTATTTTAAACAAGGAAAAATTTTAAGTGAGTACAAGTCACTTTCTGTTAAGTTAAAAACAGGAAGCCAGTTTGTTTGTACACACGTATTTAAGTGTTACAGGTTTTAAAACTCATTCACAGTATGCATACAGGTAGACTAATTTCTCAATATTTAGAGAAACTTGGATTTGTTTGAGCAACACCACCAGACGTTTAATGTAATAATCCTACCCCACATTTTCCTTTTGATCTTTTGGTGTCATTTCCTTGTGTAGAGGAGTTGTAATAAGAACTTTCTGCCCACAGATTGGAGTCGATGTAAATGCAGGATTCTCAAGGTTAAATTGTTCATTTCCAGAGCAAGTATTGAAAAACTAAGCACAAGAGAGGGAAGAAAACTAAGCCACCTTAAAGGACAAAACTTCACCACTGTACTGAGCAGTAAAAAAATTACACGTATATATCTGAAGGATTTTTACTGACAAACCCCAATAAACTATTCTTGACTTATACTCCGAGACATTTGCGATATTTATTGCTGAAACCTTGATTTTCTCCTTAAAATCCCTACTGCTTAATTAGGTCACAGAGACAATAGGTCTCTATCAACAATTATTTGCATGAGAAAGTGTGAGCTGAGACATAAGTCGCCGCTCCCCTCCCCCAGTTAGTCTTCAAAACAGAGGAAATAGGTTATTTAACAATTTCTTTTTAATATATCTACCCTTATGCAGATGTTTTAATAAGTTTTTGGACATATTTGTTTAGGCTACAATGTATGGCTAGGGAAAAAAGTACTTGTAATTTATAATCCACCCACTGCAGTCTTCATAGTTAAGCCATATTTAAAAATAAACTCACCTGTGATGGAGAAAATGGTAGTGTTTTCACTGGTGTATGCTTTAGTGCAACATTGATGGCATCATTACACAAGCCATCATTCAGTTCATTAACTGGTGATTGCCCAACACGCAATCTCTTTTTCTTTCTCAGGATAGTAGGTGGAGTGCTGAATTTAGTTAAATTTGGGGTTGTTGGAAAAACTGCTTCTTCCTCGCCGCTGATGCTACTGTGTTTTTTGCCATCAAGCACAACGCTGACATTATACTGGCACTCAGCAGCCCCTTCATTGTGTTGAATCCGCATTAGTTTTACCGGAGCTGGCTTGACAGGAGATGCAACAACTTCTGAAAGCTCAAAACTGGTGACATCGCTCCACGCTACAGGATCCTGTAAGGCAAGATGCAAAACACTCAAACACAAGTAGGGTTATCCAGGATTATTTCACAACATCCAAGCCAATCTAACAGCTCTCTACCTCCAGAAGCCATATAATGAATTATTCTCCCTGTATCTTTCACACAGTCCTAAAACACTGAATATTTTCAAACACAATTCTTTTAAAACAGGCAATAAAATAAATCACTCAATATGGGCAAAACTACAGACAAGTACAGAATAAGGTAATTTTAAGAGTATTTTACACATATTGTGTAAGCTGATTTTCCTAAATAAACATTTTTTTAGAATAAATACAGACTTACAGATTCAATAAGCTCTAGCGTCTCTGCAAATTCTGGAATGGTTTGTAGAGATGATAACATTGTGTTTGCTTCCACAGCCAAATACTTAGGTGGTGAATTCTGCTGAACAGATGTGCTGTGGGTCTCATCCATGCTGTAGAACTCACTTGTTTGTTCCCCAAGGCTATTTAGCGTATTAGACACACAATCTTCCATGACAAAACTTCCAGACCAACAAGGTAAGTTTCCAGCTTGCTAAAAAGTATGAAGAAACATGTTAATCTTATTCAACTTAGAAGGTGAAAAGAGTCAATTATGTGACCACGGAGAGGAAAAAAAAAAAAAAGTATTATATGGAAAGACTAAGCATAGCTATTAATTTTTGCTTTTTAAAACTCTAATTATCTGTTTGCATTAACGCAGTTAGTCTTCTCCTTACATTAATATACTCAACATTCTCAAATTGTGTAAGATTTTTATCTTACCTCTCATTCATATCTTATACATGCTTATAACTTAGACAATTATAGGTTGTATTGGAAGCCATCTCTGATGCAAGTTTCCTGTGTTCCTGAACATCAGTATATTAGGTAATCATCTTCACTACAGAACACAGGTATATTTTAAGATTAAAAACTGTTTCTAGAATGTGAAATACTTCCTGTCTGATCAGGTCTTTTTTTTTAACACAGATTCTGCATTGATAGTTTACTTAACTTCTAAATGGTTATCCCATTTTAGTACACTACTTAGTACTCAAGAAACATATTTCAATTTTCACTGGAAATCTAGAAGCAAAGCAGATTCCACTAGATAAGCAGAACGTTGCACTGTTTCAAGAGAATGCCAGGAATAGCTCCACCACAAAAAAATGGAAGTTCACCTGTAATTTAAATTAGTGATCAATATGGTTGGGTTGGTTAGGTGTCTGATGTTGTTCGCAGCCCTCCGTTCCTGAGGAAATAAGTGACTGTCATCTGCAAGTTTCCCTCATTCCACTGAAGTACATGTATATTTTGTACAGTGCAAATTTGCATACTGTTTGTCATGTCCAAATGTGGATATTAAGTATTGCAAGCACTCACACAGAAATTTGATAAAAATGTAATCTACAGGATATTTTGAAATCAAATAGGGCAAAACCTACGTATTTTTCACCTTTCTCTGTTGAACAGATGATTGACATTGCTGATCTATAAAACTGAATGGCGGTGATATCAACAAATGTGCTACCTCTTTAAGAAGATAAAAATATGGGTTCTTAGGAACAACTGCCAAATTGCAGGTCATATTTCTGCTGTTTTCACAGTTTAGAAAACTACACTAAAAATAATGTGCCTCAATTCTAATACATAGACTTTGTTTTACAACCCAACAGCCATAGGTTTGATTTTAGAAGGTCAGGTAAAAAAACACCACACAAAACCAAACATCCATTACTAAATTGCTGAGGATTAATCTCAGTAAAGCATATTCAAATATTTACAGAAATTTACAATTCTTACAGAAGACACTCGTTTTCTTCTGATTTCATTCTCTGCTGACATAAGTAGCAATTCAAGCTCCTTTATTTTCTTTTCTTTATCAGGGTCATCATCAATAAATGACTGCTGAAAAATTTAAGAAAGAAGCCATTACTATTTTCCATCTCCGCCACCCCTCCACAGTAAAGTTTCTACATTATAACACAGTTACATTTTTTAACAGAGATCCATGCATAGCAGGAACAGAGCTGTTCAAGCTGTATCATATTTTGTAATACAGTAATCACTCGCAAGTGAAACAATTCCAGCAATTACCAGGAAATTAATCCAATGTTAGGTGGTATACAAACTAATATTTTAACAGGTTTCTAATATGGCCTGTAAATGCTCAGTACACTGTAGCACAGTTCTATCTGTAATAGAAGCAACAATGTTGGCACCTCGGTAGATGTGCCTGTGTTTTCATGTGCTTTCTAGAATTTTGAGTTATTTATCCTCACTAAGTGTGCAAGATAGTGTTTCAAATCAGCATTTGCTGACAGAGTATCTACACAAGCAATTCTACCACTACTATCAGAAAAGAAAATTAACTAATTGGTTTTGGTTGGTTGGCTGGTTTGTTTTTAACGTCCTTAAAACTTTCCATTATTGCTATAAATATATGTAAGTGAGGATATGTGCCATGAGTTTCAAAACTGGTTATAGTCCCCAGTTTAGTGGGATTTCAAGAAGCAGAAATTATCTTATACTTTTCTGTATAGGCCAGTCCAGAGTGTCAAAAGCCATATGAGGCTTTGTTATGATTTGTATTTTTATACAGAGATCAGGGAAGAAAATGCAACATGAAACAGATGACCTACACAGGGAAACTTAAGGTTAGGTAGAGTTCTGCAGAATGCCTGTAACACATCTAGGACAAACAAAATATGTGTTATTCCCTGTGTCAAAATAGTTTTTTTATTAATTTCAAATTCACAAAAATTCTTCCAGGAAGTCATATTACAAACCAAGGTCTACATTCAATCTGCAACATATGAAGAATTTCAGATGTATTCTAAGTGAGCCCAAAGGAGCAAAAGGAAATAAATATATCCAATTTTTTGTTTTGTTTTAAAGTTTCTCAATACTTCAGCATTGAGAACGTTGCAAAAGAGCATCTTCAACTGATTAACAGAAGTGTATCAGTCAGAAAAAAATAAAACCTACTGAGAACAAAAAAGCACACCCATAAGTGTAAGTTACAGTAAGTTATTTGAACTGAGTCTTTCAGATAGGGTTATATTTATTACATATATAAAGCAGTAAAATCTGGTCTTTAAATCTCTCAGAAGCTAGGTAATACTAACAGGTCATAATTTTACCTACATCTTTAACTAGCAGACTATGTTTTAAGCCATACTTCTGTCAGACATAAGCACAACCGTTGTGTTTCTGGGATGTATAAAGACAGCTCCTTTTTTCCTACCTAGAACTACCAATTAAGCTAGCAAGCCTACTTACAGAGGAACACTTACATAAATTTACGTGAATGATAAAGATTTAAAGACATTTTGAAGTTACAGGTTTTTAAACTCTTCATTTTACAGCATAATACACAGTACATTCACTTAATTTACAATGCCCGTTAACAATTTACCTGAACTAAGTTGGAAGAAGCTGAAGCATGTTCTAGACAGCTGCCTTCTGGTGAGGCATACTGGTATGCAGGAATCTAAAAAGACACAAATCATTTTACAAATCCTAAAGAAAAGGAGGCTATAAAATTATCTATAGTTTATTATACATAAACTATTTATTATGGTTTACAAATCCTAAGTTACCATAATATCACAAAAATACTCAACAGATCTTCATTCTTTCAGATTTGTTTCTCATTTCAAACCCAATAAATTATTTGAAACTGGGAAATACTAATTATTCTGTATTTTGAACTTACATGTGTCTGAACAGGTATGTAAAATTGATTCTGAGTGTGCAAGTGTTCCACAGTCAGACAAGGTTGGGGCTGAAGTTTGGATGAACTAGCTCTTTCAGACTTTATACCATCTTGTAAATATCCTTCCTGTTCCACCTTTCTTCGCATTGTTGAATTCCAGTGATTTTTAATCGAATTATCAGTCCTAAAATCAAAGTGTACAACAGTGACTGGTTTCCATATCTCAAAGTTTAATATATGGCATAGTTTACAGGGTTTGTACAGTAGGTTAATCCGAAGCCACAAATCCAGAAAGCTCCAGCAGCTTGGACTGAAAGTTCTATATCAGTGGTGTTTTGGCATAATGACTAGAAATTTGCTCTTTTCAAAACTTCCTTCTACTAAACTTCAAGTTTGCAGGAAATTACAAGAGAAAGCCTTGGTTCTAGCTATTATCATAGGTGAGAACCTTTTTTCTTGGATACTCAGAACAACCATGTTTTCTCTGTCACTACATTATTTACCCTCTGCTACACATTTGCAGAATGTGAAGCTAAGGCAATCACCCTACTGTCCCATAGCATAAGGGCACTGTGGCTAGTGTTTGCCACCGGAAGACATCTCTTCTGAAAAAAAAAAAAAAACAAAAAACCGACAGTCTGCATTCCCAGCTCTGAGTTTTATCCGCACTTTTGTGGAAGAACATCCCACTACCTCTTGGTGCCCTTGATCTTGTATGGGGAAGGCAGGCATGGCAGAAGACCAGTACCCATTGTCACTCCCCTTGGAAAAAAAAGTGTCTGCAGTTTGACAAGCAGGCTGAAATCACTTTTAACACTAGACAAGCATTAAGGCAAGAGTAGAGTTTGAATGCATTACAGTCTAAAATACTACCAATATTATTACTAGCCTTAGAGAGAGGTACACAGAAATAAAAATTGCTTTAAGACCCATTCTTCATTTAAGCTCAACTCCAAGTATTCCCCTTTTTCATTTCACTAGTATTAGACTCTTTACAAATCTTCTAGGTCTAGAATCCAATCTTTAGCTAAGAGTCTCATCTTGGATTTATTTTCAACAGATAAGTTAGTGAACTAGGAATGCCTCTGTCCTTACAAACTCATCTTCCCTCCCTGAAGTTCTATTAAGATGCAATCCATTCCCTTCCCGTTTCTCCAAAGGATTTCCTGTGATTCATGGATCATGAACTTAATCAAAATGTCAAATTTTTAAACACACATCTCTAAGGACTCATTCTCCCAACATTCCAAGTGCTGACACTCCTTAGGCACAGCTAGACAGTCACCTCCTGAACACACAGACTGCATTCAGAGGGGGACAGCTTAACATTGAATTGCAATTAACAATGCAAGGTAAAAAATTTATTTCATTAAACTCTTTATACACTAAAATTTTGTTTTCCACAAGCATGTAAGTTGGCAATCACACTTGAAACAAACATAAGAAGAACAATGCATACAATTAATTCTTAACCTAGAGACTACGTGGTAACCAACTAGCTTTGCAACGCATGACTCCTAAGCCTGGACTTTTGAAGGTTACTAAGATTCTCTTTTTCGAGTGTCCTGTTTAACAAAGTGTTCCACAGAAAAAAAAAAATATAAAAAAATTTCTGATCTTAAACCAAAAAGAAAGTCACCCCCAAATGCATATTAATGAAGGCACTTTGATATCAAGTCATAGGATGTTAAAGCATTCTTCCACTATTACTTGCAGTTACTCTTCAGCTCTACTACAGTTTTTTCTAAGCGAACAGGAGGATTTTTGAAGGAACCTGCAGAGTGTTAGAGGTCTTTTTATTGGGTTTATGGCTTTAAATGCAAATAATCAAATGCAAAAGATGTTAAAAAATTTCAGTATCTATCAAGATAAAGATGTTGTGATGTAAGTTTCAACAGATGCTCTCTGACTAACAAATTACATTGGAAATAGCTGTGCGATGACCACTTTCCGTATTCCAATATTTAACACAAATAGAGTTGAAAAGCACCTTCCAGGAAGAAGTTTTGCTATTTCAGCCCATCGGTTTCCCAAACGCTTGTGAGCTTCATAGATTATTCTGTCCTCTTCTTCTGTCCATGAAGACTTTTTTACCTCAGGATTGAGATGGTTATGCCATCTCTCTCTGCATTGCTTGCCTATTCTTCCTTTCAGGTGTTTTGCGATTAGAGACCAGCGCTTTGGACCATACTTCTGAACTAATTCAATAACCTGGAACACAGATGAAAGCCTGTTATAATTCCAAACCCTCATTTCCCTAATCAAAGACTGAGAATACTGATAAACTCACATTTTAGAATAGGATTATAACAGTCAACTTGATAAGATACTAGGCCTAAGGAGGCAGATAGTGACCTGGGTTTTTTAAAAATTATTTTTCAAGAAATCAAAAAATTGCTTATTAACTCCAAATTCACTGTGTTTAGAATATAAGTATATATTGATGAAAACATTCCTTTTGGAAGTTTCTATTGCATAAGCTGACATTAGGAAAGACCAAAAAAGAAGCTGGTAAAGATGCTTGGTTTGATTTTTTTCAACATACATATGAAAAAACCCCACACCTCTACTCCCAACCTTCATCCCATTTCTGCATGTTTTTACACATTAGAAGCGTTTTCTTAAAAGCCTAATGAGAAATGTAAAAAAATAAATCAGGAAGACCATATTCACAAGTTGACAAACACTAGTTTTAAGTATCTTAAACCAGTTTTAAACAGTGAGAATAAGCAGTCTATTTGAAATATTGTATGTGAAAGCTATATGTGTGCCTCCCTGCAGGGCAGTCCAGATTTTACATGCAAACAGCTGCAGTGTGGATTAACAGAGACAGGGAGGAGGAGCCTAAAACACCTTTGCTAGCTTCTTTAACAGTAGAGTGAAATAATTTCCCTTATTCCCAAGCCCTTTAAGTCTGATGGGTTTGAGGAACAAAAGATGTAAATGAGACCTTTGATCTTTACTGCTGTAAAAAGATCTCCTCTACTTGGTAAGCTAGAGTAGTTCAGCTAGCAATCTGAGCAAAGGGAAATGAAATGCTTGAGCAGACCAGATATTCCATCTACTTAAGAGCAGCCGCATTTTTTTTTCCTTCTCACACAGCATAATGTAATGTGATTATCTATGTCACAAGATGCATCAGACATCATCTTTGTGGGGATAAAACTTAAGAAAAAGTACACATTCTTAGCAGTCATAAGCCAATTTTATTACAGTAAAAGAGTACAGTATCAATTAGTTTTTATTACCCTCTGATCTTCTTCTTTAGTCCAGGGACCTTTAATCAATTCTGGGTTTAGTACCTTCTGCCATCGATGCTGGCACTGAAAATCTGAACGATTCTGAAATAGTTTTAGAAGACCGGTGTAGCTGTTAAACTCTTGAATACATAAAACTGTAAATATTAGCTAGCCAGAATTATTAGCTTGTTTCAAATTAAAAGCCTTATTCGGCCCTTTGTTCTAAGTATAATAGTTGAATTCTCCCTTATTATTTCTTCTTCCATTTGCTTATAAAAACTCTTCTCCAGAAAAAAACAGCTTTGCACAAAGCTCTAACCTAATTACTTCAATGTTCTTACTTGATGATCAAATTCAAAACTTATTCTTCTTTAAAGAAGAATTTAAAATTATTTTTGTGCTCATTACTCCATACCTTCTCTGAACTTTATGTGATTGACATGCTTTTGACATAAAAATTTCTTTCCTTATATGGGTTACAGATTAAAGGAAATGCTTTAATGAATAAACTTTTTCTAAGTCTCAAGTGAATATATTCTCAGCTCTTTAATACAGTATTAAGGAAAACAGATTTATATCAAGTTTAGCTAACACATACAAATTAAACAACATTGCTTTTTCTGCTCAGGACAGATGGTGCTTTTCTGCAGCTTCACTAAGTTTCTTTTGAAATATTGTTCCCAGTTATGAAAGAGAAGTAAGCTTTCACTTGGCCTCCTAAAAAACTGTCTGTAGGAAAATTTGGGACTCTCAGGGTAGTTGATCCAATCCTTAGAAATACGCAGATAAGAGCCTGTCCCAACACAGCATACTAGTACGTCTTTTATAACACTGGGACATGATGATTTATTCTCTTCAGTGTAAGCTGCTGGATAGCAAATACTGATTTCAAGGTTTTGCTGGATTTGTCTACCAAGTAAAGGCATTACCATGTTTAACTTCATCTTAACAAGAAGCAGTCTGCAAGACCAGAAAAAACACCCAAAACACTGACATATCTAAAATTACATTGATCACAGTACCTTCAAGTTAATCACAAGTAGACACTGTATGATTAAAAGCACACTAGAGTTTGTTACAAAACATCATTTCCTGGTGGAGACAAGCTGTAAGAGAGACTCAATATAGGATAGCTGTTCCCATTTTTGATGAAAGAAAAATTCTGAAATTGTGGCCTTTTGGTGTTTTTGCCTTCCAGACAATTTTCAAATCATGACATATTTGGTGGAGAAGAGCAGAACAAATAATGGAACGGAACAATAAAGTAATTTCAGGTCTGCCTTAGACACATTAAATTAGAAGAGAATACAAGCTGCATTCCCTCTCGAGAGTCACCTTTAAGCTATCTTCACTTTTTTGGGGCAGAACAGAGGGAAGGTTTACTTGTGCCCAGTCCAATAGTGAAATAGGGTTCTGCAAACATGGCAGTTTGAGTGCCTTTACATGCTAATAACTTAAGATACACTTGGTTTTCCTAGCAAAAGACCATCAGTAACAAGGTAAGTGCTAATTATGCCAGCCTCTATTATTTGGCTTTGTAATTTGAACACTGCAGTAAGTGACCCAGAGAGGCTGTGGAGTCTCCATCCATGGAGATATTCTAAACCCAACTGGACACTGTCCTGAGCAGCCTTCTCCAGCTGACCTTGCTTGAGCAGGGGGTTTGAACTAGGTGATCTTGAGGGGTTCCTTCAAACATCAGTAATTCTGCAGTGGACAACCTGATCCTCCATGCATGTTTCCCAGGATAGCTGGGGAGCCTTTTTTCAACCTCACTTGGGCCAAGCTGAAGAATAGCTTTCTGTCTCCAGAAGCATTTGTTGTCAGCTGGAGAACTTTTTATTAAACTGTTACATCTGTTAAATGCAACTCCATACTACACCTGCAGATCAGTATCACCAAACATTGTATTTGTAAACATAATATAAAATACTATAAAAACTTTTTGATATTTGATATTATCTCTTTCTCCTCCACCATTCACTCATTTCACTGCTTTTTGGAAGGGGATAATGTACATGTAAGGAACAGTGATTTGCTTATGCACTCCTTCAATTTAGAAGCTTTGAGTTCGTTCCCTGATACCTATACTTTGCCACCTGGGGAGGGGAAAAAAAAAAAAATCAGAAGCACCACAGTTGCACAAATACCGGTAATGAAAAGTTACAGTTGTTCAGCATTTAGAATTCAAGTTTGTTTTTACCTATTTACACAGGAATTTCATACAACCATATCATTCCACTCCATATTATAAGAGCCACAAAGGCGGGTGGGTGTAATTTTTTTATTTCTAACATTTGATTATTCAGTATCACTTCTAGGTAGTGATTTCAGCCTTAGATTCTAGCTATGTTTTTATAGTAGGCATTTTACAACATTTAATCAGAAGAGACAGAAACATCATCAATTCTAGTTGTAGGTATTTTCTACCAGTGCAGCTCACACAGCTGAGGAGTTATTTAATGTTTGAATCAACAGCTCCTTTACACATTCCACCTGACCATTGGAACAGAACAAGAAATTGTAAGTGTCAGTAGGAAGCTTCCAAGAAACCTGCTAAGGTTCCATTCGTAGCAACTGAAGATTATCACTGGGTGGAAAGACTTATGTATGTTAAGGCAGCAGACATCACTGTAAAAAAAAAAAAACCACAAACCACCCACAAACCAAAACACAAAACAAACAAAAAAGACCCCCCAAACACCAAAACAAAACCAAAAAAACCCCCACCACCCTTTTCCTAAAGCGTTTAAGAAATTGATCCTGCTCCTTTCAAGCAATCTTTCAGATGCAACCCACTCTCCTATCTGCTTCAGAAGCAACCTGTGAACTGTAGATGTAACAACCATAAGTGATGCAACCAATAGCAAGCAGGAATATATTCCAGAATGAAAACAAATAGCAAGTGTGGACAGAAGGTACTGATTATTTTTGATCATTTCAGACCATCACTTGAGCCCCAGCCTGAGCCAAAAAGGTTCTCCAAGGCCTGAGCTAGATCTCAAGCCCAATTTACAAGCATCCTTTAAAATATTTTTCACTATTACGTGTTTCTGATTTCTTTTTCACCTCTTTTCCAAACTAGACATATGACCAAAGTAAATAGATATTAAAAAGGAACTTAACTGAAACAGAGGTTCAACTTACTTGTAGATGACTAGCAATGAAAGCCCAATCATCCGTACCATTTTGTTCCACCAGCTTCTTTAGCCTTTCATCCTGTTAAGACATAACCTCAGCCAATAAATGTTGCATGCTATGCCAATAAGATACTAAATAATAACATATTTCATGTGCTACCAGTATCATATAGGAATTAAACTAAAGCAAAGAAAAAAGTATTACCTCATCACGTGTCCATTTCACCCTGTTACATATCTTCTTCAAACCTTTTTGCTGTGGTACTTCATAGTCATGATCCGCATATTGAAGGTCATCATCTTCCTCACTGCTGAGTACAACGGAAGAGCCAAGAAGATAGAAACAGAGTTTAAATTAACTCTGAGTAACTTATTTTTTCCTAACTACTTGTAGCTTTTTTCCAATCTGTACGTATTGTTCTAAAATTACATCTGGAATTTGCATGAACATAAGATCTGCCTCCAGCAGTGGCCTATATTCACCATGTCAAAGGAACAGAATTAATTTTCATTTCAAGGCCACGTACTGGGATATGGACAGATAATTCATTCCAAGTCAAGACTTAAATTTGAACCAAAAGCTATTGTTTAAGATCATGTTTTTGTAACACATTCATGAATCTTTATTTTACATGAATGAGCTTATAAGATAAAGTGGTTTGCTAGTCTGCAAAATATATTCATGTTCCACCTCCATAACTCAAACAACAAACACAACAAGGGTGCCAAATAATTTAGCATTAACTTAAAATCTCAAGTGGGCTCCTGCCTTGAATAAAAGCGTTTCCTCAGTGCTACAGGAATTAGATACAAATCTTTGAAGACAGAAATGTTCCAGCAAGAAGTAACTACCTATCAGTGTTGACCCTCTAAGTTAAGAGTCAGAGGGGCAGGAAGCCAGGTAACCTCTGTGACTCCATGTAGATCACACCCCATCTACTGGAGAAATGCATACTTCACAGCCTTGGCAAACAAAGCCTTACAAACAAACACCACAAGGGAAATGTTTCATGGAAACATCACTTAAACTTATATGTCAGTGACTCATGTTAGACAGCATAAATTCAAACACATGTGGAAACCCAGGCCTAACAACAAGATGAGCAGTTTTTCTGCCTTAGTTATAGCGAAGACACAAAGAAGAGACTCCCATCCAAATACACAGCTTTAATTAAAAGCAGTTTCACCCTGCAATCTTAATTTTTCTCCATTTTATTATCAGTATAAATCACGATATAAATATCATAATTTCACATTCAAAACTAAATGTATTAGTTCTGCCCAGCCTTGAAAATTAATTCCATTTTTCAACCAAAGGTTAAAAAAAAAAATCATTTCCCAGTAATGGAATGAACTTGTGGTGGTGTCTTAAGAACTGATTAGAAGGCAGATCTCCACATTATTTTCCAGAACATGCAATTCACCCACACAGGATGGTGATCAACCACTTATGTATCTTGGTTGTTTCCTCATGAAGTATGTTCTCTGTGGCTAACGTGAATATATGGTCATTCAAGAAGAGCACTACCTACTTGAAAGCATTACTATGAGATAGTATGTACCCAGGTCTTGCAGACCCAGTGTATTTAATGTTGCTTCTACATCCTACACCACATCTGGATTTGCCCTACTTAGCTTCATGATGCAGTAGAAATAGTAACATGTAAACATATTAAAACTTTATGGAGCCAGTGAAATACAAAGCAGTACACTTGTTGAAAGGTCAGCAGCAAGTTTTTCACAGTACTTCCACAGGTTCTCGACAAACTTCAGGAGCGTATCTTGGTATTATAATCCCATTTCATACCTAGCAAGCCATACAACTTACTTATAACTAAAATTTGTCCTTGTGGTTAAGCTGTCAACACAATCTCCTTGCCCACCGCACAGCAAACTAGTTCAAGAACAGATTCTTCAGTTACGTGAGAAGTCACAGGGATTTTAAAAAAGAGGAAGGGCTCCGGATACACGGCTGTGGTGCTGACAAGACCACCAGTACTTGACAACATGGGATCCCGGCTGGCAGCAGCGGTTAAGAACCCTGCACCTGGAGTTCTCCAGAGGCACGTGCATCCCACAGCCAAACCGGCACAGCCGCTGGCCGCCTCCGTGCGCTCCATGGACACGAGGGCCAGCCGAGCGGGCCCTAAACCCTCTTGCACCTTGATACCACATGAATAACTGCTTAGTCTTTGGTCTGGCTTAGAAGAGTACACCAGTAGATTATACAAAAAATATACATGAATGGTTGGGACTACTAACTTAAGCTTTCAATTAAAAAGAAAAGATTTTCAAACATGTTACAGTTTATTTGACAATTCTTTTGCAGTTAGGAAACTGTGCCACAATACTGCATGAAAGTGGAACACGGCCACCAAATTTCATCAAATAAGAGATCTGGAACAATAAGGTATTTCATGAGTTCTGCGCTAGCTGTTTTTGCAATTCTGCATTGAGAACCATTAAAGGAAAAAATTAAGCTCCCAAATGCAAAAACCAAGAGCAGTTTAACAAGATAAAGCTTAATTCCATTTGGTGCAAAACAACTATACTTTGTCCTTACTCCACACCTAGATTAACAGTCTTGAAATCACCTTTATGTAAACTGATAACTAGAATGATTTAGTTTTGGAGATACCGTCACACACTGACACAATATTCTTCTAGGGCTACTGATCTCTAACCAAACCTTCCTCTGCTATCCACAACCAGCTGTATTTTCAATGATGACATCAAAGCACTCCATAGCCATGAGAGATAATACAAGCTAAAGCTTTGCAAAGATGAAGCAGGGGGCAGTCTCTTAAATTACAAAATGCAGATTAGGAGTAACAAGAAACATTCTCCCTCTGAGCTGATTCTTGCAGATACCTAAGTACAGCTCAAGCAGTTAGCTTCTGCAAGCAAAGCCACTTAGTGAATCTTTTCCTCCTTACACAACTAGAACCCCAAAGTACTGCTTTCTTGGTTTAGTTGCAGTTTTGCAGAAAAAGATTAACTTACAAACTCTTTTCATGTCAGAGGAAAATGCAGAGGCAGTTCTAACACCTGTAACTGTGAAACAACCCCCCCATTCCATGAGAAGTACGCAGTCACAGTAAACCCCTGATGCCATAGGTAATTCACACATTAATATTACTCAGAGTATCCTTTCCTTTCTCAATCCTAATCCTTCTTTTACATTTCTTTATCAATTTTCAGAGTTCATATTCTATTTAGGACAAGAATAATTATAGCAATAAAGTAGTTCACCAAGACCCACCTTCTGAATACAAAGCAAAGAAACACCCATTTTCATATCGATAAAACAAAAGATGTATCAAAACCATCTGGGGCTGCTGCTGAAGCTCTTGAGGAAAACATTCTCTCTCAGGAAGATTTCAGGCCAGATTATGAGATCCTCAATCAAAGAATATGCCAAATGAGAGCAAGTAGGTGCATTTAAGATGTTGGAAGAATCAGCAGGCCTGAACATTAACTTCAACTGAACAGCCCCAAACCTTACATCAATGCTTTGCCAAAGCCACTCAGGAGAAATTGGGTAGTATTACTCCAGCCAGAAAGAAAGTAACCAGCAGGAAAAGCTACTGCGGAGACAAGGCAGTCATTACTGACAGGCTCAGCGACCACAGCGAAGAAAAGCTAAGGAGCTGCCTAGGTAAGGCACGGCAACGATGGTCTGAGCAAAAGCACAGAAGTGAGAGCAGCCCCTAAGAGAGAGGCGAGATGTATACCCGAGAGCTGGTGCTCGCAAGCCCGAGGGATGACAGATACCTGTGCGGGTGCCGGGCGAGGGAGGAATCAGAGGGCGGAGGGAGGGAAGGAGGGAGAGAGGGAGGGAGGTGGGCAGCGGCACCCGAGGCCGGGGAGGTGGAAGGCGGCCGAGAGCTGCGCCAGCACAGCTCGGG